TAAATTCTAACAACATATCTTAATAAAAGAAGCTAATTTAACACAATCCCCAAACAACATTTTGAGTCACTCATTGTTGTTAAAGTAATAACTGTAATAAAGTAATAACTGAGTGCAGTATTTTAAGTATTGGTGATATAATTATTTTTATGTTGACTTTATATCATTACAGAACTATAAGCCCATAAGAACTCAAATGAATGGCTACCATTTTGATTAGTGATTAATCATAAATTGTATGTATTTTTTCTAATAAGTTTTAGTGAAAGAAAACTGATTAAATTCAATTAAAGTGGTAACATTTGAGGATGCATTAAAAGTAGCATTATTTATTCAGATAAATAACATTTAATATGCGTTTAGAGAAATGCTGCATGAGTGTAGTGTACTCACTACTTTTAAGTTCAATTAACTGAATGAAATAGGTTCTTCAGGTTTTCAGTGAAGTTTCTATTTCAGATCCCTTCAGAACTTATACATGACTTCTGACTTGGAAAGATGAGCTGAATGAATGCACTCTCCAGAGGTCAATCAACTAATTAAATTAAGTCTCTAAAGATACACCATCAGCATATTAGCAGACTTCCCAGCATGCATTGTTTGAGCTCTAAACACAGAACCAGTCTGAGTACTGCAGGAGGATAAGAGACGGCAGTAAGTTGATGTGTTGCTTACTTCTCCAACATTATCTGATTTTACTTGCACATTAATGACTCCTTTGTCTATTTTTGTCTTTACAAAAGCTTTTTATTGAACTTGTGATCAAACCAGTTTTAAGTGAGTAGGCAGCAGTGACCTCGCAGTTCCAGTGGTGGCCTTCAGCTTTATCTGCCTTCACATTTAAAAGTGCTCTTATATGGATTGTTTAAATGAAGTCATTCAGAAGTTCAGACCTTTTATAAACTCGATCAAACGGATCCATTAAAATGTGTTTTTTGGAGCAAACCAGCTGGTTTCTAATGGACACGAAACAAAGTGACTCATTAAAACCTAAAGGATCCGTTCACAGTCTTAAACAATCCCCTCATGCCCACATGTGCACTGCAACAGTTCTGGTCTCTGTTACTGTTCCTACTGATCAAATATCTTCTTCTGTGCTACAAAACTCCTTCTTGAACTAGAAAGAATGTGAAGCAGTCCTTTAAATTCATCAACAGACACATTCTTCAGGAACATTTGTGATGTACACAGTGCTGGGACACTGGATGATTCTCATATACCGCCATACAAACAACTGCTCTTCAATAGACAGCCATATTGTTTAGCTGCTAATAGCGCTGCCATGAGGGCGAGCTGTTGTTACATTGGGACAATTAGTTTCTTACTTTTGCAATCTCTTTGAATACTTACGTACCTTTATGTCAGTTTATAATATTAATGCATCCTTTTTTAAATATTTTACTTTGAAAGGAAAGCAATGTTACAGTTATTGGGATAACTTTTATATTCTTTTATATTTAAGTTCTGTTTTTACTACATTGCTGTTTGCACAATAAAGATTGTTTAGATTCTGATTCCTTTTATATATTGAATCATTTTGTGGAGCCAAGAAAACATCAATATAATATAATTATCAAAGCCATCAGTATATACGTGATGACAGTAAATGTTTTTATATTCTAGCTGTCTGTAAACCTGCAGTATATAAAGGCCCAGTCAGCCAATAAAATACTATAAAATAATAAAAGTAGAAGTTAGAAGTTACTGAGATAGTTTGTGTTTGTGAACCAAACAGAAACACAATGAGAGAAAATGACTGACGGTGGTAACATATATAAAAGCAAACTGTATCAGTGACATCAGATTAAAATGAGTTAGTATGTATGATTAAGAACTAAAGATCACCTATCTAACAGAGGGAAGAAACTGGTGATATTGATCTGCCTCTCACTGTATTTTCCTGATGGATTGATTTATTGTTGGATCCATAAGAGCAGATAAGAGATAAGATGCTCCTTTATTGATCCCCCATAGGGGAAATTCAAATTGGCACAACAGCACAGGGGGATGTAGTGCAAAGAGTAAGAAATGGCAATAAAATACATTTAATAAAATATAATAAAATATATACACTTTATGTAATAAAATAGAATATGGAAAGCATAAGTTAAAATAATAAGAAGCCTATCTCATGTCCCAAAGCCCACTGTGCCGTCTTTAAATGTCTTCGTGTCCAACTAAGAGTTAAAACCCCCAAATTGTTCAATAATAATAATAACAATTTAAAGGACAATATGAAAAATTGCACACTGAGGTGAAGAGATTTGAGATTGTATTATATTAACACAGTGAGAGAATATGTTGTAGATTGTAGATAGTATATAGATAATAGTTAACAATGAGAGGACAAATAAAACAGATATTCACGTGTCAGAATCTGGAGTGAGAGAATTATTTAAAAATAACTAAATGGATCAATTATCGATATCAATATTAACGTCATTGTTAACTGCAGATGTAATGGTTGTACACTGCTAGTGCTGAGGTGAAGCTGGGGGGGGGGTGTCGTATGATGAAGGTTGTATAAATGAAACTCTACATCCATCGTAATGCTCTCTTTATTAAACTATACGCTACCCTTAAGTTAAAGCCCAGGTTTGCTCTCAGAGCGCCGCATCCACTCAGTCAGTCACTCAGCAAACATCACAGGCTGCATATCAACCAGCCACATCAAACAGCCCACTGATGCTGCCCCCCCCCCCATTCTCCCCCAGATGAGCTTTAAAAAGGAGAGTTTAATCTGGGCCCTGTTGTCGGGTTGGTGGGCCCGCACATATGTGTGTGTGTGTGTGTGTGTGTGTGTGTGTGTGTGTGTGTGAGGGAGAGAGCTCTGGAGCTGGAGCGGGCGGGATTTTAGGAAGGCATACTTACATTTCAAAAGTAATTTGGCCTATTTATAGACAGCAAACAGCGTTGGCACCAGCGGATGGAGCGGAGGAGGAGAGCAGCGTTCCAGCGGCTATGGCTTTGTGTAGCATCGGCAGAATGACCGAGGTTGGTTAGCGGCAGGAGCACACACACCACACTACACACACACACACACACACATATTCGTGCTGGGCCACCAAACCCGCACAACAAGGGCCAGATTAAACTCTCCTTTTTAAAGCTCATCTGGGGAGAATGGGGGGGGGGCAGCATCCAGTCTGGGCTGTTTCGATGTGGCTGGTTGATCATGCCAGCCTGTGATGGTTTGCTGGAGTGACTGACTTGATGGATGCGGCGCTCTGGAGAGCAAACCTGGGCTTTAACTTCAAGGGTAGCGTATAGTTTAATAAAGAGAGCATTACGCATGCGATTGTAGAGTTTCATTTCATACAACCTTCATCATACGACACCCCCCCCCCCAGCTTACTCAGCACTAGCAGTGTACAAACCCCATCTACATTCTGCGTTAACCAATGACGTTAATATTGATATCGATAACTTGGATCCATTTAGTTACTTTAAATACACTTCTCTCACGTCCAGATTCTGACACGTGAATATTCTGTTTTATTTGTCTCTCATTTGTTAACTATTATCATATATTACTATCTACCAATCTACAACAATTTCTCACTGTGTTAATATACATTACAATCTCAAAATCCTTCACCTCAGTGTGCAATTTTTCCATATTGTCTTCTAAATTTTATTATTATTATTTATTAAATATTATTATTTGAACAATGGGGGAATACTCTTAGTTGGACACGAAGACATATAACTTCATCAGGTGGTCTTTGGACATAGAAGTGCTATTATTTTAACTTATGCTTTCCATATTCTATTTTTATTTACATAAGTGTATATTTTTATTATATTTTATTAATGTATTTTATTGCCATTTCTTACTCTTTGCACTACATCCCCTGTGCTGTGTGTTCCATTTTGAATTTCCCCTTGATGGGACATATAAAGGAGCATCTTATCTCTTATCTGCTCTTATGGATCCAACAATAAATCCAATCCACTCAGATATAATACAGTGAGAGCAATCAATACTCCACCAGTTTCTTCCCTCTGTTAGATAGGTGATCTTTAGTTCTTATCATACTATAACAACTCATAAGATCATCGATACAGTTTTTGCTTTAAATGTTACCACCGTCAGTCATTTTCTCTCATTGTGTTGTCTGTTTGGTTCACAAACACAACTATCTCAGTAACTTCTAACTTCTACTTTTATTGCTGGTTGTATTATATGACAGGTGAAGTACTAGGTGACGGTTGGCTGACTGGGGCCTGGTGTATCATACTGGGGTTTACAGAGGGCTTATTGGGGGTGAGGGGGGTTAGTCAAAGGGCATATCAGGTTATGATTGTAACCCTGTTCATACACACGATTGCACAGTTGTACATACCTAGCAATC